GGCTTGGATAGAATGAATTTGAAATTTCCATCACCAAACAAGCTATCCAAAGAATTTGATGAATCTAATCTATCACAACCACATCCAAAGATCAACTCAATGTGATCGAGGGAACAATTGACAAAACAACTCCATTTAGAGCTCTAATCAGCAATAATAACTAGGCTTCCCGCTTCAATAGCATCAAAATTCACAAAAAAATATATAACCTAATAATATATACCTAATAACTCCTAAAATTCGAAATCCATTAAAAAAAAAAATTAAAATGTAGCTAGGCGGTGCGACGGAGGCCCGGTGCGGCGGAGGCTGGGCAGCGCGGAGCGGCAGTGGACCGGTGTGGCGGAGGATGTGCAGCGCGAAGAAGAAAGCGTCGAACTGCAAGGCGTGGCTGTGCGGGGCGGCGTGGCGGTGGGCGGTGGGCGGTGGCTGAGCGAAATGGTGGCGGCGAGCGGACCGGTGGCTGTGCGCGATGAGTCGTCTGAGCGGCGGCGGTGAGAATTGAAATGGCGAATGTGAAGAAAGCCGACCTATCTGTAGTGTGAAACTGCGAATGTTTGGTGTCTAATTTAAAACAGCTACGACGTCGGCTATTTAGAAAGCCGACGTTGTAAGTTAATAATTTAAAAAAATAATAATATTATTACTATACGACGTCGACTATTTAGAAAGTCGACGTCGTATAGTAAATATAAAAAAAAAAAATTAAAATACAATATAATGTCACGTCGGGTATTTACAAATAGTCGATGTTATATGTTTTAACTGTCGGTTAAGTATATAGAGTTAAAGGCCCGACATTATATGTGAATTCTGTAGTTGTAAATATTGAATAATATCAAACATTTTAGCTTAAATATTAATTACAAAAAGAATTTATTTAATGTTATTAACCTAATGATCAAACATTTCTTGATTTATACAAAAATTTGATCTCTATGATCAAAACTATTACACTTAGGGGGCGTTTGGTTCAGGTCATCTTTGATTACCTAGGTAATTAAAGTCTGGTAATATTATATTACCTTGTTTGGTTCAAGTTATAACATTACCTGGTAATGTTATATTACCTGAAAGTTGATGTGGTGGTAATGTTTGAAGGTAATGTGATCACCCCCATTTTTTTTAGGTAATTTCAGATTACCTTGAATTATTCCAACTTTACCCTTGTTAACTAATCCTTCTTCATCATCTTATTATTATTATTATTATTATTATTATTATTATTATTATTATTATTATTATTATTATTATTATTATTATTATTATACAATAAAATATACATGTGTATATTTATATATTTAGTTTTCTAATATTTGAACATTGATATACATTTATACATATAAATAAATAAAATAAATACACACACATTTATATATAGTACATTATTAGTATAAGTATTATAGAGAATTTTTTTCAAAATACAAGTGAACGGAACGCTCTCTAAAAAAAATCTAACTTGAAAAAAAAATAAAAATTGAAACCGAATATATATATATATATATATATATATATATATATATATATATATATATATATATATATATATATATTTTTTATTTTTTTTATTTTTTTTTTATTTTTTATTTTTTTCCAATGTAGGACAACACTATTTCAAAGCCTTCCAAACTCCATTATGTCATAGATCAAAACAAACATATATTAGCCTATTAGGGTGCGACTTTTACTAATTTACACGGTGCGCGTAGCACTGTGCGCCGCGTGCCTCCCAAAACGATAATCACGGTGCGCGTAGCACTGTGCGCCGCGTGCCTCCCAAAACGACATCGTTTTGTGAGGCGAGGTAGGAAGTTGCTGTGATTATGTATATTTGTTCATACAATTATGTATATTTTTTATTATGTACATTTTTTATACAATTATGTACATTTTTTTATACAATTATGTACATCCGAATCAGGAAATTTTTGTATATTATGTTAAGAGTTGATGTGTATTATGTTAAAAGTTTATGTTTATTATGTATTATGTTAGATTATGTGTATTATTTTTTAAAAAACAGCATGTATATTTTGTTATACAATTATGTACATTCATGTATACAATTATGTACATTTTTTAACATGAAATTTTTTTTTTTTAAGAAAAATTAACCGCCAAACACTGGGTAGCGAAATTTAAAAAAAAAAAATCAAAACGACGTCGTTTTGCATCTGGGCGCACAATGCACCGCGGCGGCGGTGCAGGATATAAATTGCCACTAATTTAATGTTTTTGCTTTTTGGTAATCAGGCTAAACGAGCCAACTCAACTAACCATATAGCCCAATAGGGCTTGCTTGATTAGCCCAATTTCATTATCGGTTTTTTTTTTTTTTTTTTTTTTTTTTTTTTTTTTGGTTCTGATTCTATAATTTTTTGGGCAAATTATGTTATGCACACAGAATTGGATTCATAATTTCTATAGTATAAATTCATAATTATTGAACTCTATATATATTCACAATTACAAAACTCTATGTTCATAATTTTCAATGTTTATATTCCCAATTGTTGAACTCTGTATTCACGATGAGGATATGAATTGTGTATTGTATTGAATACCAAAGTCTGAGATACAAATACAAAGATATGAAAGAGAGTTCTAGTCTAACTCTTATAATATAGTCCTAATACTCCCACTCAAGCACAAGGTTGGCTAGCCAAAACATTGAGCTTGTTGCGGAGTAGTCTAAAACGTAAAGAAGAAAGAGGTTTAGTAAAAATGTATGCTAACTGATCCTTAGTCGTTATAAAGTGAACTTGCAGCTCCTTCTTCGCCACTTTATCACGAACAAAGTGATAGTCAATCTCAATGTGCTTCGTGCGAGCGTGAAAAACTGGATTAGCACACAAATAAGTGGCCCTCAAGTTTTCACACCACAACTTGGGCGCTGTAGTAGGAGGAAAACCGATCTCCTTCATCAGAGAGACGAGCCAGGTGACTTCCGCAGATACATAAGCTAGTCCCTTGTATTCTGCTTCAGTCGAGGAGCGAGCCACAGTCCGCTGTTTCTGACATACCCAAGAGATATGATTGCTACCCAAGAACACAACAAATCCACTAGTTGACTTCCGATCATCCGGATTGCCAGTGTAACACCCCGAAATTTTTAAACTTTTGAAACTTATATAATAAAGGTAAATTCTCATTAAATCCAAAAACATAATAAAAGAGTACGGGGTTCTAGGCCACACCTGAGCTGGAGAACTCAGGTGCACAGGCTCACTAACTAAAATCCTCAACAATATCAATACATAAGTATGGCACGCAGGCCGAAAGGGAAACTATCTACTCTACGCTTCGGATCTCTAGCGCGCTCCAGTGTCTACTCGTCAGTGCCTGAAAGCCAAATATATCTGTTCAGCGAGAGATGCTGGTAACCCACTCCAACGCGTTGAAATACAATACATATAGGCATACATATAGATATAAGAAAAACCATTTTGAAGCATGAAGATATATCCTAAGAGACTCTAGCTTTAAAAACAGGGAATAGACTCGACGGACAGAGATAAGCACAGTCAACAGTCATAACCAAGCATATACAATTCACTAGTATAGGGAACAGACTCGACAGGTAGAGATAAGCACAGCCAATAGTCATAACCAAGCATATACAGTTTACTAGCATGTATCCTATGTTCACGCTTTCATACATTCATAACATCAAACCATCCATATCTCATCACATAGCACACTTTGATGGCGCCACAGGACCAATCGCATGCCCATACATGAGGGTCAGCGCATATAGCTCTGACACGGCCCCGCAGCACCCTGCCTCGTATCGCAACACGAAGGGGTCGATCGCAACCGACCGATGAACCGCAGCTCATCATTATGTTTGATCGCAACCAAACAGTGGACCGCAGCCCAAGAGTAGTCATCTGACGACAAGTCTCCGGGCAGCGGGTGCCCGGCGGGCAGTCGCCTGCCCGCTGCCGGCGACGTCAATTCTGGCCGCGGGTAGGTGGCGGGTCCCCTACCCCCACCTACCCCCCACTGACTCTCTTTCACAATAAACGCCCCGGGATCCATTGTGGAACCCGAAACCATGCTTAGACACTTTTAAACGCAATCGATGACACCACGTAGACAATTAACGGATCAAAAGCGAGAAACGTACGACACGTACCCTATCATGCTTCCTAAATACAATTAACGCCCAAACATGCGAATTCCCACCCAATATATCAAGAATAACACCACATGAGTTTCACGATACATCATAGGGCTCTAATTATATTTAAATCATCAAGGATGTAATTCATCCTTTAACATCAAGAACCAATACAATTCATCAAGAATATCACATAATCATCAAGCTAAGAATCCGAATTCCTCAAGAATATCACACAATCATCAAGAAACCCTTATCATCATCAAGATTATCAAGATAAAACCATATCACCAATTATCAAGATCACATCATCAATATCATAAACAATTCATCAAGACACAAGAATATAGGGGGATGCCTAAGATGGAGATCATAGCTAAGAAAATAGGTTTTGTTGAGACATGGGTTACCTCTTAGCCTTAATTGATTTCCTTGGCTATGAAGGGTCTTTCTCTAAGTCTTTCTTCTTTCTTGATTTCTCATAGGGGAATTCTTGGAACTCCTTGTGTGGTGAGAGATTATTGTGGTGGGGGTTCTAGGTGCCTCCTATGTCCCTTATTTATATATCTAAGAGTCCTAATTAGGGCCCAATACTATAGGCTTGCTAACTCTATTCCTTTTAGGACTAGGGGTTGGGTTTAGAGATGAGGGCCCACGGACTATGGTGGGCCTTTTCCTAATTAATTATTGTAATTTAATTCTTTCTTTGGATAATTGGTTAAATGATTAATTGGTTTTAGGGGTCGTAACACGGGGTGTTACAGCCAACCCAATCTGAATCAGAATAAGCATGAATTTCAAGAGAGTTAGAACGAGACACCCGAAGACCAAGGTGCAACGTCCCATTAACATACCTCAAAACTCTCTTGAGAGAGGCCTAGTCTGCAGTAGTGGGAGCATGCATGTACTGACATAAACGATTAATAGCATAAGATAAATCAGGACGGGTTACCGTAAGATACTGAAGGGCACTTGTGAGACTTCGATACTGAGTGGGATCAGCATAAGGAGCCATAGACTCATCCGTACCCTTAGCAGATGAAACCGGTGTGGCTACAGGCTTACAGTCCACCATGTCAGCTTGTTTGAGAATATCCTTCATGTAGTGCTGCTGAGACAGAAGCATACCACCAGAGACCGGAACAGTCTCAATGCTCAAAAAGAATGATGACACCCCCATATCACGAACTTTAAACTCCATAGCCAGTTTAGTAACAAGTTCAGCAACACGATCCGAGTCAGAACCCATGACCAGAATATCATCCACATAGATAAAAAAAAAATAGCCGAATATTATCACACGAATAAACAAAGAGAGTGACATCAGTCTTAGAAGGCAAGAAACCAACAGAAACAAGAAAATCATGTAACCTCGTAAACCAGGCACGAGGTGCTTGTTAGAGCGCATAGAGAGAACGCTGAAGCAAGCACACGTGTCCGGGTAACGTCTTGTCCTCATAACCGGGGGGTTGACGCATATACACAGTCTCAGCCAAATTACCATTCAAGAAAGCATTGTGGATGTATAACTGACGAATGGTCCATCCACTAGATACAGCCAAGGACAAGAGAAGACGTACCATAGTTGGTTTAACTACAGGGCTGAACGTTTCAAAGAAATCCTCTCCAGCAACCTGATTAAAGCCTTTAGCAACTAGCCGGGCTTTATGACGCTCAACCGAACCATCAGCTTTCCTCTTGGTTCGAAAAACCCACTTGCAACCTACAACATTCAGTCATGGGCGAAAAGGAACAAGCCGCCATATATTATTATGAACCAAGGCATTAAACTCCAAGTCCATCACCTCACGCTACTCGGAAAATTTAACCGCATGAGAATAGCAGGTGGGCTCAACAGTTGTGGTAGTAGCCAACGCGACATGCTCATACGGTCCCATGCTTAGTGCGAGCCATAACATGAGAGCGAGGAAGTGAGGCCGCTTTCGCCCCGCGAGAACGGCCACGAGGCCGACCCCGTTGCCGAGCAGCTGGCTAGTCCTTGACTGTTCGCTCACTGGACACGGACTCATCAACAGCAGCAGGCGAGTGAGGCACGACAGTTTGTTCAGCAGCGGCATCACCCGACCGGACCACATCACAAGCAGTCAACACAGGCGCAACGGCCCATGGTTCCCAACTCGGCGAAGTAACCTGCGAATCAACACGAGCAACAAAAGGAAAGACAGTCTCATCGAATCGCATGTGGCGACAGACAAAAACCTTGTTAGTGTTAGTATCCAAACAACGATTGCCACGAAAAGACGGAGGATACTATGACAACCCAATAATTTATTTTATAAATCCGGTTTTAAGAAAATCCAAAATAGCCAATTTTCACTCCATAAAATTTTTTTACAAAGAAAGCGGTGTTGAGTAAATTATTTTGAGCCATTTTAAATTTAATTTGACATCAAGAATGGATTTAATTCCAATATCCTAATTTTCCGGGTACATTGCGTGCCATGTTTTGAATTGAGAAATCTATCTGAGTGAAACCGGGAGAATTCTGAGAAGCTTAAAACAAATGTTTGTCTTGAAAACATTTTTGAAAATTCCATTTTCAACCCCAAAGTATTTTAAATAGCTATTCTAGCCTTTGGACCATGGAGTATGGTGAACCACTAGCCTCCACCTTTGTTTGATGCTTTAATTGAGAGCCAATAAGATTGTTCATTTCATCAACCAATCATAAGAAGATCTCCTACGGTTTTGAACCCATATAAAAGCATTAGAATCCTTTCATTTTCCTCCTGATTCCCTTCTTGGCTGCCAAACCTTAGCTTCACAACTCCAAAGGGATTCACAGTAAGTATTTCTTCAACCTTGGCCTTCCATTTCCTCCATTGTTCTTCCTCTTCTTCCTCTGAGTACTTAGTGGCTTGTTGTTGTTGGTTGTTGGGGATGTTTAGGAGGTGAAGGAGGTTGTAGCTAGCAAAGGAAGATGTGGTTTCCAAGCTAGAAGAAGAAGAAAGCTCTAAAGGTATAACCCATGGATTCTCAATCTATGTTTTAAGACTCTGTGAAGTCTTTTGTGTTTATTGAATGAGTAGAAATGCTAAGTATTTGAGATATTGGGTGATTTATTTGTGCTTGTTGATGAGTTGTTGATGTTTTAGAAGTGTTAGAGTTGTCTAAATTTTCGTCTTGCATGTGAAAGGATTCATCTGGTGCACAGGCAGTGTGCACCAGTGAATTGGACGACCCCAGCCATCGGCCCAACAAGGGGACCGTTGGCTAAGGCCGTGGAGAACCAGCCCTAGGGGGCGGCCCTAGGAGAGGGCCCTGCCCTAGAGCCGGCGTTTAGGCGGTTCCAAGGGCGGGCTTAGCCGAGCCCCGCCCCAATGGCCGTTGGTAGCCCTCTGTGCAGTGGCCAGGCACTTGTAGCTCAGCTACGTGTCGTTTCGAACGGGGTATCGAGGGCCCTTGTGGCTCTCTACTTCGGGGCCGTCTCGACGCACGTTTTGGCTATGATTTTGTTGAGGTTGGAGAAGCATTGAGCGTTTTATGCTAAGTTTTGTAAACATATTTGTTACAGAGGTTATTTGGTGTAGTTTACTGTGAATGTGATGAAATGTATCAGACTTGGAGAATTTATTTGATGAGCATGCCTTTGTTTATTTGTTTAATAGAGAAGCATGAGCCTATATGTTTGTTTTTAGCTAGCAATGCATGCCTTAAGTAGCTATTATAAATTGTAGAAGTTCACTGCCAAGTTGCTATTGTTGAGCATGATTAGTTTGAGAGTACTTTGAGTTGCAAAAGCATGTTAAATACTTGTTAAGTGTTTATTGAGAAGAATTGTTAAATTATGAGCTTTCAAGCATGATTCATGAAATTTGTTGAGTTACACAAGGAATTGAAAATAGAAGCATATGTTACAGTAAAGAGCATTTTGAGCATTTCATGTTTTGAAAGTGCATAAGTGGCCAATGTGAGCCTAATTATTATTTTCTAAAATCTCATTCCATATAGAAAGTCTTTATCTAGTCTCTTGAGATTGAGTTGAGAAGTATGTGCATTTTAGCATGACTTAAGTGTTGCATTAATGAGTTGCATGAGCGATATATATATATATATATATATATATATATATATATATATATATATATATATATATATCTTTGGTGAGGAAAATCTTGTATTGGAGGACCGTTTGGACTACGTCCTTTCGGAGAGGAAAGATTTGGACATTGCGGTCTGAGTATTTTGTAACGCGCCGTATTCCCACGTTACAAGGTTGGAAACTTCCCGCTAGGCTTGGAATCCTGGTCAGGGGGTGTGCACACTGATAGTTCGATGCCTGATTCCACAGAGTTTGAGTTTTGGAACCACGAGATTGGTTCGGTGGTCGAGATGTTAGCTTATGGCCGGCTCAATGCCGTGTCCATGGATTCGTCCCCGGGTGGATGACTCCGGTCTCATCCACGTGTAAAGCGAGTTATTGAGACTCTAAGAAAGCGAATCAACACGACTCTAAGAAAGCGAGTCTTTGAGACTCTAAGAAAGGGAAAGCAAAGCGAGTCATTTATGGCTCTAAGAAACCTCCACAGTAAAAGTATTCTTTTTGAGTGTATACATATATCTATATCGGTTAAAGTATCATTCTTTGAGTTATATATCTTGCACGGGATTTCAAGATTAGAAGCATGAGTTACTATTTATATATCTTGCACGGGATTGCATGATTAGAAGCATAAGTTGCTTATTGGAGTTATATGAGAAAGCTGGAGTTTATTTGTTTAATGGAGAATCTTAGTTTGCTCTTGAGATGTAATTGTGATTGTTGTTTAATGATCAAGTATGCCTATTTACTACTTAGGTTGCAAGCATCTAAAAGCTAATGCCAACGTATGATTTAAGTGTTTAAGTGTTTGCTTTCAAGATTGTAAGCTCTGTTTTCAAAGTATTTACTGTAGTTACTTTACAGGGTTGAGTGGCGTTATACTTAGTTTCGTGCTAACGGGTTTGCTTGTTATTTGTCTATTTGTTAACCCTTTTTAGGTGGTTCGAGCTCATTGGTACGAGAGAGAGATTCGAGTTAGACTAGTTAGAATGTTGTTTGTAGTCTAAACTCGTATTATGGATTATAGTAACCTATGTTTTGATGGTGCTGGACACCGGGGTTTCATCTCCCTAGTTATTCGGATTTAGTTTTGACTTGATATTTAGTTTTTACCCTAGCCTGTACAATCACCGTGAAGGGTGGTTGTGGCGGTGACACTCCTTTTGTTAATTTATTAAGTTTATTTCGGCTGTTGAGTTTACCTTTAATGGTTTAGTTACTTAAGTAAGTTTCAGAAAAAGCGGGTGTTACGGATACCCAAGAAACACATAAGGAGAAGACTGAAACTGTAGTTTGGTGCGATTATAGGGACGCAAGTTAGGTAAACATAAGCACCCAAAAACTTGCCGGTAGGAATAAGATGGGGGAGACCGATGCAAACGATAATGCGGAGACTCATCTGATAAGACATGAGTAAGCATTTTATTAATCAAGTACACAGCAATCTCAAATGCGTAATCCCTAAAACGAGACGGGACAGACGCCTGAGCCATTAACACCAGACAAGTTTCAACAACATTACGATGTCTGCGCTCCACCCTCCCATTTTTCTTGTGAGTATACACACAGGATTGCCTGTGGCGAATACCTAGAGAAGCGAGAGTGGAACCAAGCTTTTTATACTCTCCCCCGAAATCAGACTGAAACGAAAGAATTTTGCAAGAAAAGGAACCGTTCAACAAGTGACCAGAACTTATCAAATATGGCATACAACTCAGACTTAGCATGCATAGGATAATACCACATGTAACGAGTATAATCATACACAAAAAATACGAAATACTTAAAGCCATTTGCAGAAATTAAAGGCGCAAGGCCCCAAATATCATAATATATTAACTCCAAAGGTTGCGTACTAGTAGTTTCAACACGAGATAAAGAAAAACGAGACGATTTTCCCAACTGACAAGACGAACAAATATTGGGATGATCACTAGAATTAAATTGACTAACAGACGAAAATTCTAAAATCTGACGCAAAACTCTTGAATGAGGATGACCAAGCCACATGTGCCAAACAAAAGTAGATCGTGCGGCAACAAAAACAGCTAGGGCTGGATGCGAAGTAGGCCAATCATAGAGACCCCCAAACGCATGACCTTTAAAAAGAACCTTCCTAGTCAAAATGTCATTCACAAAGAAACACAAAGGGTGAATCTCAAAGAAAACATTATTATCCTTAGCAA